CAGCAATACAACAGCTAGCCTACGGGATTTCGGCTGATGCTGTTGATGAATACTTAAAGATTGGGGAAAGCACTGCTCTCCAAAGTATGAAGACCTTTGTACAAGATATAATACAAATATATGGAAAAGAGTACCTCAGGCCCCCAAACTCTGCTGAACTTGAGACTATACTGAAGGAGAACGAGCGTCGAGGGTTTCCTGGATGTAAAGGTAGCATAGATGGTATGCACTGGCTTTGGAAAAATTGCCCTCAAGCATGGGCTGGTCAATTCAAAGGAAAAGAAAAAGATACTTCGGTAGTTCTTGAGGCAGTGGCCTCACAGAGTCTGCATATATGGCACACGTTCTTTGGCACACCAGGTGCTCTCAACGACATCACACTACACGAAAGATAATATTTTCTGGGCAGAAAATTAAATTATTGATACACAAAAATATTGAGAGGCCAGGAGAAGGGCAAAAAATAAATAAAAATATGCATCTTGTTCCCTGCGGTGAGAGCTTCACTCTCCATATTCTTCCATATTTTTACAGTCCGTATTGGTAAGTGTACTAACAATAAACCTTCATAATCATCCAATTACAACCTGTAACAAGCACTGAAATTTGACTCATTAGTGTTTAGAGGAACTTTTGATTTCTGAAAACACCTATAGCTTTGTCAAATCTGCCTCAAAACACTCAATTTTAAGTGCATTAGAAAGCTGAACTCTTCCTCTCAAACGTTCATAAGATCAAAAACTATGTAGCTAGTATGACAATCATTCTATGGATCTGTATGTACAAATGTATAAAAAATATGATATCTTTTTTAGCAGACCAGCATGCTGTGTGGTCCTATTATGAACTATTTGGAGGACAATTCCAGCTTACCAATGCGCCTAAAATCGAGCGTTTTGGACCGGAATTGAAAAAGTTATGAGTATTTTCATAAATCAAACGTTTCTCTAAATACTAATGAGCCAAATTTCAGTGCTTGTTACAGGTTGTAATTGGATGATTGTGAAGGTTTATTGTTAGTACACTTATCAATATGGACTGTAAAAATACGGAAAAATATGCAGAGTGAAGTTCTCAACGCAGGGAACAAGATGCATATTTTTATTCATTTTTTGCTCTCCTCCTGGCCTCTTAATATTTTTGTGTATCAATAATTTAATTTTCTGCCCAGAAAATATTATCTTTCTTGCAGTGTCAACGTCTTACAAAACAGCCCGCTTTTTGACAACTTCATCAACGGTCAGTGTAATGTTTTATATGGACCTTTAAACCCAAATAACTGATTGTAATCTTTATATGAACTTCAAAAGGCACCAAAGACGAAGTCCATTTCAAGATCAACGGGCATGAATACACTCGAGGTTACTACCTGGCCGATGGGATTTATCCCTCATGGCCAGTCCTCGTCAAATCGATCCATCGGCCTGCTGATGAAGCCAGCAGCTATTTTTCAAAGCATCAAGAATCTGTCCAAAAGGACATCAAGTGTACTTTTGGTGTTCTCCAGGCACACTGGCATATCCTGGTAGCACCATGTCGCCTTTGGGGTTTAACGGACATGACCAATGTCATTTTATGTTGTATCATACTACACAACATGGTAGTAGAAGACCGAGGTGAAAAAGACCAAATTGTTATTGATTATCGAACAGAACATGGTGTTGAGGTACATCCGAATCGACTGGATCCTCAGATTGGGTATACACTTGCTCGCTACCATAATTCCAATGCTGAGCTAAGGAACAGAAATCTACACTTTCAATTATTAGAAGATCTAAAAATCTCGTTGTGGATGAGGAGAGGCACAGGTGGAATTTAGTCATCAAAGGAAATTTTATATTGTTTTTCAAACATTTCACTTTCTCCAATATTTTTCAAAGCCTTTTTTCCAATCACTTCACTTTCTCCGCTCTTTTTCAAAACCGATTGTTGTTATTGATCAATTATAATCTTGTGAAGATTTCAATACGAGTCTTGAAAATAAAAGCAACTGATTCTTTGAATAAAAACAAACCGAGTCTTGACAAGAAAACAAACAACAAACTGATTCTTTCAATAAAAACAAACCCAGTCTTGAATAGAAAACAAACTGATTCTTTAAAAGAAATAAAACTGAGTACATGATTTAGTTGGAAAACAAACTGATTCTTTAAAATAAATAAAACTGAGTACATGATTTAGTTGACAGTATCTTCCAAGTTTTCTGACTCGTCTCTGTATTTTTTCAATAACCTCGCTTTCATCAACTTGAGAATCTCTCTTGATTTTTCATCCGGACATGAATCAGCTGAAGTCATCAAGGTGTTAAGGTGCTTGGCTTCTTCCTCAAGTTTGAGAGCGCGTTCGGCAAGATCGTGACCTTTCTCCATAACTGCTGCTTCTCGTTCCTGAATGTCGGTAGCACGCTTGAGTTCCTTGGTGCGTTCAACCTTGGTTTCACGTTCTTCACGTTGACGTTTGTTTTTCTTTTGGCCAACAGGTCGTTCATTCATATCACTAGATGGAGGAGGAGTTGATTGAGGAATATAAGGTGGGCTAACACCAGACCCGCTGGTAGAACTAATGGGGATGTTGATGGCTGGATTGGCGACTGCGAGCCATCTGGGAGCGTATCAAAGGATCTGCCAAGGGACCTCGTCTCTGAATTGCTGGCCCTTTCTGAATTGCTGGCCCTTTGTTTGATTTTGATATTCCTTCTTAGCAATGTCCATGTAATCAGCGTTGTATTGAAGCGTAAATTCCAGAAAACTTCAGTGTTGATGTATTAATCGACTTCCACCTATGATGAATCATCAGATTCAGTTTATCAAACATTTGTATCATATCTACTTACCGGTTTCTAAGCTGATCACAAGAACGATTATGTATAGTACATGCAGCCTTGAAGTGCTTGGTCACTCTATTGTAGAAATCACTTCCAGTTTGATTGTTTGCAAATTTGACTGATAGCAACCCAAGAGATCGCCAGCTGCTCATCCTCTGCTGCTACAAAGTTGTCACCACGCTTCTTCGAGGTGGTAGGGGGTTGTGCATCTGATGGTTGATCCATTTGGGTTGTTGGGACTGGTAATCAATGAGGTTGAGATTGGTGATGAGGTTGAGGTTGAGGTTGGTGACGAGGTTGATCCGAATCAGAGTGATTCACCGTGCCGAAGGATAGAGCGGATGGGTGCGGGGTTGGGTTTGCGAGGGCACGGAGTTAGCTAAAGAAAATCTCTAGGCTTGGATAACTTTGACCCAGCCTAGAGATTTTTTGACAAAAAGTTAACTAATGATTGGTTACAGATTGACCGTTGCGGGAAACCTGTAAGCTTTAGGTTAAAAAGTTGGCTATTCCCCCGACTTAACCCGACAATTGCGGGTGCTCTTAGGACTACAACTGTGCACAAATTGTGGTTCTGTGGTTAGGTTAATTACAGTAACACAGCTACCATTGTAGGGCTGTGGCCCGGGCCCGACCCTGACCGACCGGCTTTGCCCGACCACATCTCAATGGTCCACATGGCCGGGCCCGGGGCCACGAGACCTAGCCTGGCAATGCTCCGAAAGGCCCTGCGGGCATCTCGGGTGCCCGACCCGACCGGGTCACCACTGCTTTTCTGGTGACTAAGCCTATCAAAAAACAATGTTCGAATGAAAAAACAGGTGACATACAACTTACCTGCCAGCTGATCATCACCCATTGCCCCTGCCAAGCCTCTGGGCTCGACTTCTGGCCCTGCCCTGAGTGAGCCGAGCTGTTTTTGGAAGCCATTGGGTCACATCAGGTCCGGGTCTGGTCGTGAGGCTGGCCCTGAGCTCGCAGGTCCGGGCCACAGCCCTATACCATTGGGTTATGAGTATATTTCACTTGTTACATATGTGTTCCTGCCATGAAATATATGTAGCTTTGGTTTGCATTAAATTTGTACATATATGGTCACACTCTTTGATGTAAGTACTGCACATGTTACATATGCTAAATCATATGTAACTTGACTCTCAAAACTGAGCCTTTATTTTTAAGGTTTTTATTATGATATGTTGCCCGTTGGTACTCTGGTTTAATACTCAGTCTCAGGGCTGACAGTCTTTGCCAAAATTTAGTACATTCTAATGAAACTGTGTCTACAAAAAGATGTGAACCTAGATCTCCTACTATCATGAAGCTAAGTACAAGAACAAAGAAGGAGTTTGCTCGGTTCCAAGACATATTTCAAAGAATTGAGTTTATTTGTTCAAATTTGGTAGCAGTGAAATCAAAATTATTTAGTGAGAGCACATAATTCTAAAAACCAGAAGAAAGTCTTAGAAAAAGCTGTGGGATAATCAAGTGAGATGAGAAAAAAGAAGTGACCTCAAGGCCCAAATTCCCCTTGACAAAACCCTTCATGATGAACTTTTACATACACTAACTGAACACAAACTCCTCCCATGGGGAACACCAGGCTGTAGTGGGATGAAAACCTAGCCCCCAAAGAAGCAGTGAGAATGCTCATGGGCAGAATCTGCTTAAAATCCTAATACCCATTTCACTTTGTCTGGGACTGTCTTCATCCTCCAGTTTTCCCACCTGCAGTCAAGAAAACCTTTAAAAAGTTTCTGATGGAGTTTGTATTATATACTGTTTTTTTGCGTCTTATAGCCTATTGAGACTTATAGATTTTATGTAACAGACGCCCATGCCAACGGTTCAAGGGACTTGAAGGATTAAATTTGTGATCCCAATTATTAACATCAGAGGCCACTCTACTATATATGTTGTTAATGATGATACCCTTATTTTTGTTTCTTTAGCTTCAATTCATTCACATCAAGAAATCATTAGATGAACCTACATAGATTGTAATATTGAATTTACAAAACAAAACCATTCTGATCTGAAACATTAAATTGTCAATCCATATACATACACATCATTGAAAAAAGCCCATTGCAAAAAACCCAACTCTAATGATCCTCTTGATATATAATCAATCAATAACATTAACCTCTTCAAAACCCTTCCTCTAACCAAAAAAAATCAAAAACAAAGATAAATTCATTACAATCTCATTATTCTCATTATTTGAATATTTTGTTTTGTGTTTGTTTTTGTTTACTGAAAAAAAAATCAATCTAATCATTAAATTTTACAAAAATTAAACAGAAATTAAATCCAAAATGATATATATAGGACATATATTTTATATGTGATTATCAAAAAAAAACAAATTATACAATTTTTACACATTCCAAACTTCATCATGAACTTCATCATCATCATGAGTTATATTATTAATTACACATACATAGCATTAAACCCCTTTCTCTTCCCCTTTCTCTTTCTCTTTCTCTTTCTCTTATCAAAACCCCTAACCCCTAACCCGATCTATAACAAAACCATTTCATTTCATAGCATCAATCAACAAACCTAATCCGATCTCACAACTCTCTAACCATTCCGATAAGTCTCCCAATGTGTTTTCCAATTCACTCTTGACTTCTTTAACTCCAATCAATGAATGATAATCTAATTCTTTCATCGGTTTCTTCACTCCATTTGGCCATTTATGATTCATACTTTTGTTGGTACTATTCGTCATCGTAGTAGTAGTCGTAGTAGTCGTTATTGGAGTAGAAATGGGATTTATGGAAGTACTCATCGTTTGTGATTTGTTTAATTGTGGTGTACTTGAGATCGGAAACGGTGGTTGTGGTGATCCTGGAATAATAATTTGATTTGTATTCGAATTTAGATTTGAAGAAGAAGTTTCAGTACCAGATCTTAATCGATTACTCAAAGGTAAAGGAGGCATCGGATGATGATAAGCAGGATGAACAAGTGAATTCGAATGATGATTAGGTTGTGATGATTTAAGTCCTCTATCACGTTCAGACGAATGAAGATTGTTTAAATAAGCTGATGGAGTGTGTTGTAGATTATGATGAACACTAGTATTGCTCATCGGTGTATTATTTAACGTAGATGAAGGTCCACCAAAACTAAATCCATTCCCTCCAAATTGTTTTCCACCACTAGCACCTCCACCACTAGCACCTCCAGAAGCAGAAAAATTAGATCGATTAGAAGGCATCATAGGTGTATTATTAGCCGAATTGCTTGGAGTTCCATCTTGAGTGACTGGTGCTGTATTAGATCGATTCCGACTAGATGATCCTGAAGAGTCTTTACTTGAGACCACCGGAAGAGATGGAGAAGTTGAAACGTTAGCATTTGAAAAATTCGATTCTGAAGATTTATCAGGTATAGGTGAAGGAGCAAATGAAGTGTCTGGAGATTCAGCAAAGTCTGATGCTGCACGTGCGCTAAAAGGTAAGCTACCGATCGTTGGTGTAAGTAAAGGAGAAGATGTAGCCAGTGGCTTATTACGATTAACAGATAGCACACTTGTGTTGACCATCGGCATACGTTGATAGTTATTAGGTGTAGGTGTGATTGATCGATTTAATCCAGCAGGAGAAAAAGGGCGATTGGGATTGGTATTAGGGATCGGATTAGGTGGTTCGAGAAAGCTATCGAGTTCTTCTGAAGAAGGAATCGAAATCGTAGGTGGACTGACATCCATCATTCCATCTCCAGGTGACATCAAATGATTATTAGCACCTGGCATTCCAGGAATATGAAATCCTAAACCGATCATTGGAGTTTGGTTTGGTGAAGGATTTGATAGATTAGGTGATTGTTGAAATGGACCTTGATAACCATTAAAGATTCCACCCATAGGTGAAGGATAATTATTCGAATTCTCATCTTCAAATAATTTCATTAAACGATGAGCTCGATTCTGACGTGAAGGTTGTACATAATTTTGATTCGGTCGAACTGTGATGGTTGATGACTCTTTGGTAGTATTCCATTCATCATGTTCTGTAGAATTTAATCCTTCTGATAAATCATTTGAATAATCTTGATCGGCTTCTGCATCATCCATAAAATCCCAATCTGATTTATCCATATTCATCGATTCAGGTCTAGCTCCAAGATCGTTTGGAGACACTCCTGCTAAAGATTGTCGTACACCGCCTGAATTGATCCAACGTGAATAACGATTGGTAAGGTCTTTGAGAGGTGTCAGAGGTGCTTTTGAGATTGATTTGATCCATTTGTGTTTGATCAATTCATCTGCTGTAGGTCTCTTCATGATCAAATCATATTCAAACAAAGATGATGGTGTCAGTTTATATCCTAATTTTAATATTGAGAGCTTCTTCTTCCATTGAAAAGCGTCTTTGAAGGTGTTGACTTACATCATTTGGTTCATCTATCAAACAAGCAGCCAAGAATTCCTTAACCCCATTCGAGAATTGATTACCTTCTAATTTTGCAGGTTGACTTCTAGGAATCTTTAAAATCACTTTAGCAGGTGTCAAATCAGAGTAAGGAGGATTCCCATTTAACATTTCGTACAAAGTGATCCCAAGTGACCAAATATCAGCTTTAGTATCATATAATCTACCATCTGCAATCACTTCAGGTGCCATCCAATAAGGAGTTCCGATAAATGTAGACCGTTTATGATTCGTAGATTGAAGTGGAGCAGCAATTCCAAAATCACAAAGTAAAACTCGATGAGAATTAGTGAGTAGAATGTTAGCCGATTTAATATCCCGATGAATAATATCTTGTCGATGTAAATAATTCAATCCGATCAAAGTTTCACGTATGATCAATTGAGTAAACTTTTCTTCAATCTTTCCTGGTTTCAATAACGTTCGAATCGATCCTCCAGAAGCAAAATCCATGGCGATCCATAATTCTGTTTTATAAAAATAACATCCATGATATCCAATACAATTATGTCGATCTGAATCACGTAATTGTGATAGAAGGGCTACTTCTCTTTGGATCTCGATGATGTCATCTTCTGCTGTGTCCAAATTGATCACTTTCAATGCTAGTATAGTTCCTGTTGCATTATGAATCCTGATATCACAAGAACAAACAGTCAGTATATAATCAAATAGAAAGCTGATGGATGTAGATTGAATGAAAAGATACCCTTTATAAACTGCACCATAAGCACCTTTACCTACGATGTCTAGTTTAGTGAAGAGTTGTTCGACAGGAACATCTCGATGTGATTGAATATGTTGAAGTACGGTAGAAGTTGAAGTTGAAGAAGTAGTAGAGACAGTCGAAGTGGATGAGTTTGAGTTGATGGGCATCTTCTCTTCTCGATGTTTGGTGCTGTGAAGAAGAAAGCAATCCAATCCAATCCAATCCAATTCACTTTCAAATCAAACAAACAGTGGTTCTTTATTTAGACTGAACTACAGTTTAATTTAAGGATCCCGGTATCCCCACCACCCCCCCTTGGTAGCCCCACCACCCCCTCCCTTTCACAGCTAGTGAAAGCCTTACTTACCAGTGACACAAGCTGTGACAATTGTCCAGCCACACTGAAAGGTCCCTGGATTTTGTTTTCTCAAGTTTGCTCGGTATAAATAGCACTTAAAACAATTTTAAAGCACACATCAGCTAATCAACCTTCCCAAAAGCATTTAGCTTCTACTGGTTCACTACCTCCTCATGAATCAAAAAATTTGATACCAACTTCTAGAGAATTTGATGCGACTACTAGTTTGGGTTACTAATTTCCTTGGTCTTGGATTGGTCGTGCATATGAAGATTTTTAAGATTTGCATCATGCTGTGGGTCTTCAAATGTATCACTTGAGTTCGGGCCTCTTACTTCAGTAGGATTCTTTTAACTTTGTTTACAACTTTCTGTCCTTTGTCTCTGATAGCTCTTTTTAGCTGGCACAGTTGATGACACTCTAAAAAAATCGATCGTTCTGGTACATCGATTTTGAATTGGTCTGACTCACTGATCTTCAATCTTGGTTTTCAATTGGTCGTCTTTTTCAATTGGTCGGAGTAATATTGATTCAAGTCATCCAGTTATTCATATTCAATACTTGATTCTAATTGAATGATGGAATCGCTGAGCCAAGAGGATCTTTGGTGAGCAAACTTGAGAAAACAAAATCCAGGGACCTTTCAGTGTGGCTGGACAATTGTCACAGCTTGTGTCACTGGTAAGTAAGGCTTTCACTAGCTGTGAAAGGGAGGGGGTGGTGGGGCTACCAAGGGGGGGTGGTGGGGATACCGGGATCCTAATTTAATCCATTTCACCACTTCACACTCCTTTCGCACAGTTTGAAATCAACAACCCATGATCAGGGTCCACACATTGAGACCCTTTCACTATTTTCATGCTCTCAAAAAGTGATCAAATTGCTGTCAATCTTCTGTGACTTGCCCTCAATCAAACTTTTCACCTCACCAGATCAACATGTTTTCCATCCCACTACATATCAAAACAAGAAAGTATGCCTGGGTTTGAATCATGACTACATTTAATTTAGGGTACTCAAGACTATCAGGTGCAACCAAGAAACCCTTTTCAAAGATGTTTCAAGAACACAGATTCAAGGTTTTCTTTGGCAGTGGAATTTTGAAGATTTCTTAAGAAAGATATGGTACTAGACCTTTGTTTTTGGACATGAGACTCAGAGAGATCTCCATGAGATAAAAATGAAAACTTCCTCCAGAGTTGTGAATAATTCTGTTGCCTGACACATACCAGTAAGCAGGGTGCTAGATGAATTATATTAGATAATCCTGAGGTATCCCCTTTCAAAAGCCTGAGTGTAATATTCAGCCCAATTAGTTGAGATATTTGAACCAAAAGTCCTCACTTTCTTTGATGGAAGACGTTGTGAAGAACCCTGTGCCAGCACATCACTCCAATCTTCTTCCAAGTCTTGATCACATGATGATTTGAGGTTTTTATCTTGGGCTTTTCCTCCTTCATCATTTTGTCTCACCTTTTGAGGGATATGGGAAGTGAAAGTTTATGTAGCTGTATCATTGTTGACTAAAAAGTTAGATGTACCACAACTATCATATTCTGGATTCCCTGTTCTTGGTATCCTACAAGAGATTTTTGGCCTTTGTTCTTCAAGGGAGTTTGTTGGATTGTCATGTGCCCTGACTGCATTTATTGTTGGATCTGATAGTATACTTCTTCTTTCTGGCTTTTCACTAATCTTTCAATCGAGGTTTCCCTGCGATGAAATTCTAAAATTTATTTCAAATCACATCTCATATAATTCAAAGATGATTCTGTTTTTGAGTTGTACTGAGTCATCCTACTCATATTGTGAAGATGTTCATGCAGACCTTGCAGACCAACATACACTCTAGAACTCTGCCCTAACTGTGGAATATAGTCTTTGGGCAGAGTTTCCTGGTATCTTTTTTACCAATATCTGCTCTTTGAATATATCTTGACTTGAGACAATGCCTGAAGAAATAGATGGCTTTTGCTTTTGATATCTCTTTGTTAGAGTATTTTGAAGGGCTTTCCTTATGTAAAAATCCACAAAGGATGGAACTGACTTACACTATCAGGAAAAAAATCAAAATGGTTGATGATATATCCAAGCCCTACTATAGTATCCAAATCCTTCAGAGACCCAAGATTTCCCACCAAACCTTAAATCATGTCCTGTAGAATCAACCTCTCACTATGATTTTCCATACTCTCAATTGATATCTTGGCAATCCATATTATCTTGCTGAGCATGATAATTTTTCCATTGGTTGATGGTCAATGTTGCTGATAAATGAGATCAAAGTTGGTGATGTTCCAATCAGACCTGACATCTCTATTACATTCTCACAGATATCTAACCTGATCTTGTTTATCTGATGGATTGCCCCAACAACCTTGCTTGATTCCATATAGCCACATTCCCCTATTTCTTTTTTCATCCCTGACATGTGCTTGTCACCATCATACTCATTGTCAAAAGGGTTCTTGAACACTATTCTTTGGGCTGATTGGTTTGGCATCTTGGATCTATTGTGAAGGAATGATGAGCTTGTGACCTTTTCAAGCATTCTTGTTTCCATTTTAGGTTCTTGACCCTTTCAATTGGCATCAATATCCTTGACCCCTGGAGATAAGAGAGATTCTGAAGTTTCAATAAAACCCTTGTATAACTCAAATGATTTCCCATGAACCTTACTTACCACTGATTTGGGCCAATAATGGTTATCCAAATTTTATTGGAATTTGATTGAAGGCTCATCTGTTGAGCTTGAGGTAGAGATTCAAAATTTGAAATAGAATCTAGAAAGAGCCTGCTGCAATATTCTTCCATAAAATTCTTTATATTTTCTGTTGTATCCTTGTTGGAGATAGATGTAGATATAGATAGATTTGGTTGCCTTAGAGCATCCCCAACAGTACCTTGTAAACGTAACAAACGTAATATGTATTTTACGTTTACAAGGTGTGGTCAAAAAATGACCATCCGTCGGTTGCCAGCTTTCTCACAACTGGCCACACGTGTGAAATTTGTTTAGAGGGATAACAGGTCTCACATGTCAAGACCTCTATGCCTTGAGGGTCATTGGCAAATATCCAGGACACAGTATTTGTGTCATATTGGACACAATAATACCACATGTGTCCATATCACCAAGCAATCATAGCTTGTGGATCCAAAAATAACAAGGATCATTTGGCTCAGTGTGTGCATTTATAGCGTTTTTGGCAGGGGTACGACATTCAAATGCCTTGCTGCATGTGCGCGTTGGAGGTGACCCAATTATTCAGGGTGAATACAGCCAACTGTACATTATGAGAACACCTTTTTTCAATTCAGGACCGTTGGAGATGCTCTTACAATCTATCCCCATTTGGGTGTTGGACATGATTGTGTGAAGGGATTTAGGGGATACAAAGTTAAAACTGGGATTTTTTTCCCAGTTTCCCAGTTTTTGTTTTTGGCTGTGTTTGGTACTTTCCCACGCTCTCCCGGTTTCCCAGGTTCCGTTTTTGGCTGTATTTTGGAAACTGGGAAACTGGGAAAAAAATTCCAGATTTAACTTTGTATCCCCTAATTATACACCCAAAAAAGTATCCAAATACTTGAGTCTGTGCTGCTTTCTCAGGTACATGTGGTACAGTTATTCATGTAACATGATTGAACTTTGAAATTTTGCTTGTTCTTGGTTTACTTGAATAGGCAGCTACTATTTTGTCACACATCCCTCTGCAGTCATCCAAGTAAACATGTCATGCACCACAGTTAAAAAGAAAATTTCTCCATAGGATAGGAGTAGAAGAGACAAACAAATGTGAAAGCTGCTCAGCAATAGAAACACCAGCCCATTTCCTGATATATTGTAGGAAATACAATAAACAACGACAAGAGTTCAGAAAACAGTTGAAAAAAGAAGAAATAAAAGTCAATACAAACTCTGCTTCAACGCTCTTGGACACTCCAAAGGTGTTCCCTTACCTAGCACAATTTATTCAGGCAACTGGGAGATTCACACATATGAAAACGTACTTAGAAAATTAGAATCAACATTTCTACAACATTATGCTATATTTCATCTTACAGTCAATCCAGATTAGCTTGTCCAATCAAAAATTTCAAAACTTTTTTTAAAGTGATACAGGTGATTTTATAAGCATAAATATGCGTATATGAGATAACGAGTTTGATCCACCCTGACCAACCAGACCATTCCACTGTTTGAATGATCCAACCTGTCCTCACCGCCATTTCCTTATCCTCACATCCATTGGTCCAGCTTGATCACACTCGATCCATTCTCTTAGATCTGGACACTTGCTGTAAGTTTTGAACGTGTCCTCTTGGTTTTGAATTTAATCTCACAGTTTCTCTTTTGATCTTGTTTTAATCGACTCAGCTTCGATCTAAACCTCGATTTAACCCTCTTATCTTCAATCGATCTCTTTACTTTGACATCTAGGCTTTGATTCTGAGACAATCTCCTTGAATCGTTGTTGAATCCTTCCTTTGGGCATCAGATTCAACTTGTCAGCTTTGAATCCAACCTTCAAGCTCTGTGTTTCTTGATTGACTCGTTCCTTGCATTTGTACTTTTTGTCCTTGTCTTTGAATCCACCCTGTCAATGTTTTTCTGCTTCAACTTTTTCAGTCCTCCTTTCCTCTGTAATAGAATATTTGAAATATAGACTCTGTCAGTGGTATCTTCACTTTCCAGATGCACCAATACCATCGGACGTAGAAAGGAGATCATGTGCTATGATGGCATTCACAGATGAGAGGTGCCCCAACAGCTGGAAAGCCAAGTCTTGTGTGGGCAAAGCTCGAAGAGTTCCATACCAAGTGGCAAAAGACATAAACTGCATAGTGAAGTTTGAAAGCAAGGAAGGATGCAATTACGATAACGGGTTTATCTTTTTAGATTCTATTGCTCAATTCCGCTTACATTCAGATATCTCCTTAACGACTATGTACAAGAGATGAATTCAGAGCAGGCGGTAAAGGAAACATATTGCAGTTCATCATGATCGGGAGGAGAGATACAACAGTACATGTCTAAATGCATTGGTGGATCTCTGTGAGGGTGTCATGTACTCTTGAATCAACCTGAATATCAACACAAAATGAGTTACACAAGCAAATCAGAGCAAAGAGACCGGTATCGAAGACGAGAAGGTTGGATTGAAGGTGTAAAAGTTTGGATCGAAGCTGAGACGATCAAAACAAGATCAAAAGAGAAACTGTGAGATTAAATTCAAAACCAAGAGGACACGTTCAAAACTTACAGCAAGTGTCCAGATCTAAGAGAATGGATCGAGTGTGATCAAGCTGGACCGATGGATGTGAGGATAAGGAAATGGCGGTGAGGACAGGTTGGATCATTCAAACAGTGGAATGGTCTGGTTGGTCAGGGTGGATCAAACTCGTTATCTCATATGCGCATATTTATGCGTTATAAAATCACCTGTATCACTTTAAAAAAAGTTTTGAAATTTTTGATTGGACAAGCTAATCTGGATTGACTGTATATCTTTTCTATGATTCCTTTCTTCTTCTCTGTTCAAAGTTTTTGGGCGCGCATCTTTTCACATTGATTTTTTTATAAAGGCTCAGTAGTCCGTTGTAAGAAAAAAAAACATAAGAAGTTGTAGTGGTTCTACATCACACCTAGTCAGTTTAGTTAGTGCGATATGTAAAATCAAAAGCACTTGAAAAAAAAAAAAAACCCACAGTTAAAGCATGTATAATTACAACAACCTCCACAAGATCTACTTGTACAAGTGATCAACACAACACTTACCCTTCCTTAACCTTCATGACATAGTCGCCTAAACATAGTAAAATAAAGTACAAAGCAAAAACACTTTACAAGATCATTCCACATCTTTCATCATTCCAACCCCACCACTCCTTTTAACACGTTCACCCAAATCCATTTGACCAAAAAACACTTTCTTTTCTTGATCTCTAACAAATTTAGCTCTAGACCCATCCCCAATCCCACCTGATTTGATTTGATTCTTTTCTCTTTCAATTTCTTCAACTTTCAATCTCTCTAAATCTTCTTTTTCTAACTCTTTTAATCTTTGTGATCTTGATTGATTCAAACTTTGATCATTGGCTTGCATTGCTGCTAGTTTGGATGCTTTGGCTTCAGAGAGTTTGGAATTGGTTGAAGGTGTTGGTCGGTTTGGTATTGTTTAAGATTGGGGTCTTTGTGCTGAAGGTTTAGGTGAAAAAGATCTACTGGAATGGGGTTTGTTCGGGTAATCTCGCCTTGGTGGTGAGATAGGTTGGGTTGAATGAGGAACTAGTCTTCTTCGTTGTGGAGATCGACTCTCAGAATTTCTGTTTTGATGCCTTTCACGATTTGGTAGAGATGCAGAACGTCGGTGGGAGTGTTCGGGAGATAAAGGGCGTCGGTGATGATGATCAAAAGACGGAGATCTTCGTCTATGATCTTGTTGATCAGGTGACGAACGACGATGACGGACATCAAGAGGTTCTCTTGAATGATATCCTTTAGAATGATAACCATCCCTATCATCATATCGATCATCTTCGTATCCTCTCTTTCGATCCTTGCGATCCTCTTTTGCTGTCTTCCGTTCTTCCTTCTCAAGCCTACGTAAGTCTTTTTCTTTCTTCTTTTCTTCTTTAGATGCTTTCTCAAGTTTCATAGCTTTCAATCAATTCGGAGACTGACTAGGGTACAGGGTCGTTCAGCTGATAGAGATGACTGAGTGAAACCGCCTGTTTAAGACCGTTTCGAGACCATAGATGATAGATAGCACTGGTAACTTCTGGATCGAGCCTATTGGTATCATGTGAGTGGGAGCGCAAGCAGTAGATCAATCCTCTCGGCATCACCTACTTCAGCAGGTATTTCGATACCTTGAAATGTAGGTAAGACGTCAAGGACAATAGAAGTGATGGTATTTGCAAAGATAATTTCTCGATACGATTCCCGTTCTTGAACTGTGTAAGTCTATCCCGAAGACATTTCGTTTGCTACGCCGTGATACAAAGGGAGTGAGCAAAGTTAAAATCATCATGAGCCTTTGCAATTGTTACGAGTATATTCAAAAAAGTAGGAGAACGTGAAAATCAGATCAAGACAGGTAAAAACATACCTTGACAAGTGTTGACTTTCCAGATTCACCAGCTCCAAGTAGTAAGATCTTGATTCCTGTTCTATAAAAAGGCAAAAGAAACAAGATAAATAAATGTCAAAATTTGATGTATTTGTGATGTATTTGTTTTTGACCCAGTGAATTTTATATTCCATTTTTCGTAAAAGAGAATCTTTATCCTAAAAGTGAGAGAATGTGCGTGAATGGTTGATGATTTGATTTGAAATTGGAGTCAAAAGTCAACTTGAGGGTTTGCTATGTTTGTGACTAGCTTTGTAAGATTTGATAAACTTGATAAATTCAGGATTTGATGGTTTGCTTTGATGTCAATTAGGTTGGGGATAAATAATTGAATGAGAAGGAGTTGAGGATATGTAGAGGGAGTTGATGAAGAAACACGGATTGAGCTTGAAGTGGTTTGTTTTCAAAGGTTTTATTACACTTTATCTGATTCACATTCCACTTTATTCACCTTCAACTTCATTCACATTCCACTTCATTCTCAATCATCTTCCATTTCATCAATGCCAAACAACATTGCCAATGGTGACATTTCAACCAATTCATTGAGTCCAGAAGTTATGGAAACTGAGAAAGATTCAATCACAAACCTTGCAAGAGCCTTACCAGACAATGGAATAGACTGGATTTCAGAAGCTATTCAGATGGTTGATTGGAGCAAAGATGAAGGATCGTGAATTGATTTGAATCCTCAAGATGGTGATATTCACTAGAGTGACTCCTCGTTGCTCCAATCGACCCTCCGAATAGCTTCTGAAATCCAGTCTATCCATTGTCTGGTAAGGATCTTGCAAGGTTTGTGATTGAATCTTTCTCAGTTTCCATAACTTCTGGACTCAATGAATTAGTTGAAATGTCACCATTGGCAATGTTGTTTGGCATTGATGAAATGGAAGATGATCAAGAATGAAGTTGAATGAGGATGAAGTTGAAGTTGAATGAGGATGAAGTTGAATGAGAATGAAGTTGAATTACGGGATACAAAGTAAAAACTGGGAAACTGGGAAAAAACCAAGAGCCCCAGATTTTGGGCTCCATGTCCTCACAACTTTGCCCCAGCCCCACAACCCACATCAACCCATCCTAACACATCAACCAATCCTATTCAGGCCCTTCACTCACAACTATACCCAGCTGCATGCAACTCGGTCAAAAGCAACCCACTGTAAACATCATTCAACTTCCCCAAATTGTAAGAGGAAAATGATTAATAGTACAGTTTGTCATAAAAGAATCTAATACTGCACACGTGAGCCATTTCACCCACACTACATATGTGCAGCAAGCTAAGTCAATAGTTGGCTATCATGTACATACATGTCTGCTCAGTTTTTTGCCCACCAGCAGAAATAAATCACATGTTATACCACATGTAACTTTTTTGACTTTGAAAAAATTGTGCCCAAAATTCACTACATATAATTCTGTAGGTGCTCAGGCAATATTGTTGAAGCTATTTCTTAGTAACAGAAAGGGTGTTACATGCAGTTGAGTTGATGAGATTACACCAAAACATTGAGTCAGTGTATGTAGTCAATCTTTGGAATGCTTTTTTTGATCTCAAAAAAGTTACAGCATGTATTACATATGAATAACTTATCCTGATGAGCAGATAACTGAGCAGAACTGTATGTACATGATAACCACATATTCACTGAGCCTGCTACACATATGTAGTGTGGGTGTTATGGCTCAGGTGTGGAGTGATAGATCATTTGATGACAAATCATACTCCCAGTCACTTTTTCCTGCCCACTTGGGGAAGTTGAATAATGTTTGCAGTGACCTTGTCCATCAATTGCATCTGAGCACAAACTCAGATTCAGAGACCGATTTTCTGTCAACTCAACTCCAATGTGACCCTTATCAATCAATTTCAGATACTGTTAATTGATCTTGATCCGTTACCTCAAATCCACTGTTTTGGACAAAATTCTCATTATCAAAACCAGAACATTGTCAAACTGAATGGCTTTCATCAACTCTATCAATTCTCACCATCGATAGTCAAGAAGCAATAGACCATATTAATCAACTTCCTACACATCATACAGATCCAATGATCTGTAAATGAGAAATAGTTTCTAAAGAGTTTTGTAAAGAGGTGAATAGTTCATATGTTTTTTCACAAGAACTTCAGATGGACATCAATTTGGATTTTGTAGAAAGTTTACTATTTGTTTCTTTTTTGAATGCATGAAATGAGACTTTGAAAGGATGTTTCAATAAAAAAAAGATTGAAAAGAAGAACTGAGTGTATTCCTTGGGTATGAATGAGGTTGAGCTAAATCTACTTCAGATTCTCAGAAGCTTGTCCTTGGTTGATGATGAAAAGTTATGACCATATCGATCTGAATTAGGAGTGTGTAGTGAGGAGTGTGACCTGACAAGGAGAGACCAAAGTGAAGTTGAGATCGAAGTTGATGTGAAGTGGGCAAGCAAGGTGAAAAATTGTCTGATTGGGGATTCAAAGTAGAGAAAACTGGGAGTTTTTACTTTGTATTGCCTAAATGAGAATGAAGTTGAATGTGAATGAAGTTGAATTTGAATAGGATAAAGTGTAATAAAACATTTGAAAACAAACCACTTCAAGCTCAATCTGTATGATGGACCAGAGAGGTACGATGGACCAGAGAGGAGGGTGGAGGACAAACCCAAAACCCCAAACCTCAAACCCGGTACAGCCTGTACAGATTTTACAGGTCGGTACTCCTAGTTCCATATATGTTTGATTTCGATTCAAAAAGCGACTGTTTCTTTGGAATACGATGAATCAGTCAAACTCTCAAAAGATAGGATCACGCCAATCAAGTCAAAACCCCTCTTTTGAAACAAAGACGTTATTTGAGCTACACACCGTGGCATTTTTTTAACTAAGCGTGCTTTTGCCTTGATCGCAGGGCATTTCTAAAAGCCAGTTTGATCAAACTGTTTATACAGCCGGGTTGAGATTACCTGATGCATCAGTCAAATGCTCAAAAGCAAAGACCCTGCCAATCTGGTCAAAGCACCCTGTGCTACTTTACCAAAAGATGATCATGTGGAAATTGAGAATGTACTGGATTGTTTTTCTACGGATCAGTCCTCTGCACTTTTGCTATATAAGTCTTCCTTCATTAAGCACTTCTAGCTGTTTGTTCACCTCGTCACATGCATGTAAATTTTTCCAGCAAATCCCCTCTTGATACTTATTGAATTCGCTTCAAACCATACATTACTGATCCATTTTGCGTCAATTTCATTTAACTTTTTAACACATCAAAAACAATTATTATCTACCATTCTCCAAACTCACATTTCAATGAACATTTTATATCTCATAAACTTAACTCTTATCACCTGAATCTTCAAAGATTTTGAGGTAAGCTTTGCTTATCTACCTTCAAATAAATTAACAAGTCTAATTATTTTGTTTTTGTGCAACTAACCACTTTAATTTTGCTTAGCCAGCCATACTTGTAGCAAGCTACACTGCACATCTTTGCTGCCATTGAATCTTTTCCTTTAGTACTTCTGTACGCCTAGGAAATTATTCATAACAGCATGGATTTCTGACAGCAATCTTTGCAGCCTCAATTTTTTCCTTTAGTACTTCCGTAGGCCTAGGAAATTACTCGTAGCTGCATGGATTCTTCAATACTTGAATCTTTTCCTTTAGTACTTCTGTACGCCTAGCAAATTCTTCATAGTAGTGTGGATTTTTGATGACCATCTTTGCAGCCGTGATTTTTCCTTTAGTACTTCTGTACGCCTAGGAAATTACTCATAGCTGCATGGATTCTTCAATACTGGAATTTTTTCCTTTAGTACTTCTGTACGCCTAGGAAATTATTTATAGTAGAGGATCCAGGAGACCTGATCACTGGCCTGATACTGAATGAATGTTTTAAGCCTCCCCAATGATTTGAAGCAACCCAGAAACTTCACTAGTGTATTACTCTTTTACCCCACCAATCATGTAAGGTAACTCTTTTTGAGACGCAGTGATGTATTGATGAACTTAATTACATTGAGACATGGAACACATTACATTGAGACATGGAACACGGAGCATGTTTCACATCTTTTGTTTCCCAGTATCCTCTTGTTTTCCCCAAGCGGTGACAAGTCCCTTTCATGTTCCTCTTCATCTCCCTCAAATTCAAGCATCAATTGCTGTATTCCTAGTTCTTACGCAATGAATAGCTTAAATCATCATCTTGCACCTGCTCTACCCAACTGTGATCAAGCCGAACTAGTAGACCAAGTTTTTGACATTGACACAATACTCCAAGAAGCATGTGAAACCAAAACCTCATCACCGGACTTACTTCAACTTTTGAAAAACAAGCACAACATCGACTTAACCCCAAGGCAGCTAAAGTATTGCTTGAGCAAGCTGGATTTGCATACCTACCAACATGTACATTACACAGATGAAAAAAAGTCAGAAATCATTGGCCAAGTCAAACTCTGTCCACAGTGCCCATGAAGGGCGCCCTAGACGTCGGGGGCCTTCAAGAGTACAAAGGCAAGCCTTTGTACTTGTTGGAGCCCCTGACGTCGGGGGCTCTCTCCATGGGCACTGTGGTCATACCCGCGGCCTACAAAAAAAAGAAGTAGTCAGTTACATTCAACGTGTTTGTAAGATACCTGAATTCACCAGCAACAAACTCAAAACACTATGTCAAGAGATGGGGTTGAACTGGCGAAAAGATGATATTGGATTAGGGTTGACATCTATGCAAGAAGTTAAAGATCAAATGTCATTAGAGGTAGAAGGATCCCATGCAACAGCTGGTATCAGATCAATGCAGAAAGGGTTTGCAATAGACCATGGTCTTAAGATTAATTGTAACACAGTTTATTCTATGATGAAAGAACTATATCCAGAGGGCCTTGAAGAAAGACACCGCCGTAAACTACACCGCTGTTTGTATGATGTTCCTGGTCCTAATTCTGTCTGGTCTATGGATGGTCACGACAAGTTGAAGCCTTTTGGCATATGTATCTACGGTGCTATTGATTCATGGAGTCAAAAGGTTTTGAAACTTCATGTGGCAACAAACAATAATGATCCTCGAAGAATCGGCGTTCAATTCTTACAAACAGTTGAAGATATGGGAGTTTGCCCTCAAAAGGTGACTACTGACAAAGGATCAGAAACCGGTGACATTGCAACTTTCCAAATCACTTTTCTTCATATCATTGGCGGGTTAGATTGGGATGAAGCCAAAGGAAGACACCGATTCACAACATCTCAGCACAATCAAAGAATTGAACAGCTATGGGGACAATTGATGATACAAAAAAACATAACAATTCGTGACTTTATTATAAATGCAATGTTTGAAGGGATATATGACCCTAAACAAGCTATCCAGAAGTACGTAAAATTCTCATCTAAATATTTCCACTTAACCCATGATTTTTATTATAATTTTTATTGCTTCTATAGGGCTTTGTTCTTACACTTATTTGTAAGGCTTGTTCAAAGAATATTAGACTCCTTCATTCTGGAACGTAACTTCAACCGTATCGCCAAACAAAAGCATTCTCTTGTTCCCACAGGTGTTTCACCTGAAGTCTGTCATTACGCCCCTGAACAGTATGATGGGACTGAAGGCAGGCTACAGGTTCCTAAAGAATTTGTACAAAATATGATAGCACATTATTACCCTGATGAAGAAACATTATTTCAAATAACTCCCCCCATATTTGCTTCCACAGTCTCAAACATAATTCAAAAGCTAGGTTTTATTGAATCCAAGATCACTCTAAACAATGTATGGGCAGTATTTACAGCAGTTCTGGAAATAATTAAGTATATGAATGTAGATTTAGATGAATTTCCTGAAGGAGTTTTGAATTCTGATGGAGAATATGAGGAGTACAACAGAGATGAAAGATTCAGAGTTGCTGGTGATGCAGAAGATCAAGTTTGAAATTTGGGACTTCCTGATGGAATTTTATTTGTATATATCTGTTCTATCAATAAGGTCACAATTCTCAGTTTTTTATTGATTGAAGCAAGTGACATTGGGTTTATTTTATGATATAAGAGAGTAAATTTAAAATTCAAATTTAGGAAAGAAAGATCTAATATTGATTGTAATTTTTTGTTTGAGTTTGGGTAGATCAAGATCTTAGTGATTTTTTGAAATTAAAGAAACAAGAATTGGATCAAACTTGATGGTGAATTCTTTGGGTGAAAAATGATAAAAACAATTCCAAGTAGGAGTTTATGTAGAAAGGGTACGGGCACCACACAGCAATTCCCACAAGCGCTCAGCATCAGAGTCAAGCACAGGGAACTCACTCCCCGTACCTGCTACCACCATGCCATTCACAACCTTAGGGTATCTAGCACTTCGAGGATCTGGGAGGCCAAGTTTTTTACACAAAAAGTTACATTTAGCCGTGAGACAAAATCCAATCAGGCCAAGCCGGTCGGTGTTTCCCATAGTCCACGGATATCTGTCACAGGTCAAGTTAGAGGATAGCACACAAGAAATGCATGATGTCAAAGAACACATACTCTTCATCAATGATCGCAATGTCTGTGAGAAGACCTTCTTCATTTCCTTGAAGGTCTGCAATCATCCATCTACCATGATTGTCATGATATGTTTTATGTGATAGCGTGTGCATAATTTGATAGATGGTCTTGTTTTCCTTTTCCTCATCGATTGAAAAGAATAGATTACCAAAGAATTTGACAAATTTCCCTTTGATCTTCTCCTCAAATAAATAAATCTCCTTTGGACCAGGATCATCTGTGTGTCCTTGATGTACAATGAAATTCTTGACAAGCTTAACAAAAGAGATCAATCTAAGCAATATATTCAGAAAGTTCCACAAAAAAAAACTCACTCATATTTAATCACAATGATTGCGTACATCATATGGAATATTGCCCAAGTTGGCCTCAATTGCCATCTTGAACATATTGATGCTTCTTTCTGCTTCAAGATAGCGCTGAGCCAAAGCTTGATAGCTTTCAAGAGTCATATTTGCATCCAATTCCTGCTTGGCAACCATCTCTTGAGCTCGGCCATCAATCAAGACCTTTGCTTCATAGCAATTCATGAAAGCCCCGGACCCAATGAAAGCAGAACGATCAACGGAATAAACTACCTCTGATTTTTCAAAGGTAAGCTGCTCAATTGCATGCAGATTTATATTATTTGAGTCCAAATCCTTTGTAATGATTGTAAGCATTGAACCCGATTTCCAGCTAGGACTTAAACGGTTCCGAGCCTTTGTGAAAATAGGAAGAGTTCCTCTGCCGAGCAATCGCATGATTCCTAAGTCGGAAAATCCAACTTTACCACCCGCTAGATTTTGATGATCAAAGTCAATTCAACTGTGTGTTTTAGAGGTACTTGGGTTCAAAGTGTTACTCAAGAGAATCATCAATAAGCTTGTTCATAACTTGATGAAGTGGTTTAGGACACAAAATATCAACACAATCATCAATGACTTGGCTGAAGGTCTGAGTTGCTTTTGATAGTACAGTCGGAGGTGATGTCTGAGTCTCGATAGATTGCATGTTAGATTTAGGACGTTTTACATTCAAGGCTCTTTTTGGACGAGGTGTATAGTCTTCAAATCAAAACCAAGACATGCAGTTAGAGAATTCACTAAAAGAAAATTTTAAAAAGACCTCGCTCACCAAGATCATCAATTGAGTTGGAGTTGTTTGATTCTTGCAGAACTACTGAGGATTCTGAATCCGAAGAAATAGCAGCTGAAGACTTATGAACAGATTTTCCTATACAAGTAAAATCAGATGGGAATGATCAAGATAGGCTTTGGAGATTGAAGTTGAAGAACTCACTTTTCATAGAATGTGATCGTAGTGACATGCTTTGTGGACAAGCAGAAGACTGACGTGGCAAGTCCAGGACCTCATCTGCAACATTTCTCTTGCCTGTTGATGTCAAATATTGATTTGCATCATAAATTAACACAAACTTCTCGCAAGCACGTCCAGAAGTCAACCTGCAACAAAGGTAATTTTTGGTAATCCGTTTAGGTAAACAGTTACCCCTGCCTAATCCGCCTAGGTAGTACCAGTCTTTATAATAAGGTGGTAGGCTATGAAGTTCAAGCTCAAATACTTGTTGAGGTGAGGGAAAAGTTGGATGATCTCTAAAGTAATCACAGACCTCGGTAGTCAAATCAAGCATCCAATGTGTCTTTGAGAGATCATAATCAAAGCTTGAACCAATTAATTCAGTTTCAACAAGTTCAGAATTAAGAATATAAGCAAGGTTGATCTTTATAAATCCAGTGGTTTTTTGTTGCTTTGATTCCGATCCTCTCTTCATCTTTGATCTTGCAGATCCTCTGGCTTCAGGATTGGATGGGTATGGAACAGCTCCCTTTCGATAATTAGAAACTAGCACATCAGCGGTGGGCGCCGCTTCCAAAATTTCCAATTATGTGGATGGCATCTGTTCTCTTCTATGTAGTGCAAGACCCATCATGATTGATCTTATAATGTCTGTTCAAAAGATTGCTTTGACTCAATTTAAATGAATCAGCAAAGATTGAGTTCAATGATTGATTTCATTTGGCTGTTGGACTGTCTAGCTTAATATATGTCAATATCAATGAGTGACTTTGGAAGCCACAAAACCTCACTGACCAATATTCACTACCACAAATATCAACAATTGTGGAGTGTAGATAGATCTACACACTCAACACAACTTTTGACAGAACACCAGAAATGATGTATTACCCATGTGAGAGACAGTCCTGCCTGAGCTTATGTACCCTGGTATGACTTACAGTACTAAGCTACATGCATTTTATCAATGAATCAGGACTTGCATCCCAAAATGAATGAGACTTCAATATGAAGCTTTATATTTTCTCTTAAAAATAGAAGAAGAAGTTACCTAAGAAAAAAGTGAATTTACTTTCATTGTGATAAAGTTTGGATTGATACAGTCAAATTGAAGGCACCTATCCCCATAGGTGTTGAGTAACAAGGATCTCAAACATCATATGTTGATGCTCTAACCTCTAAACCTACTTCCCTGGTATGCTCTACTGCTACATCATCTCTGCTTCAGTCTTCAATCAAGACTTCTAAGAATTCCCATTAATAAATCCTTTCCCTTTTGTTTCCTTGATATACTTATGAAGGCAACTTGAACAATACTCAACTTCAATTTTCTAATTAATCACTGTGAATTATAGGATGTGCTCTGGAACTTCAATGGGTTCACATGCTGTGAGTCAGCTCATAGTTCAATGGACACCTCATTTGCAATTACTTCCTATTTATATGAATGGTGTTGGCTTGATTTGCTTAGACTTGGTTTCAGAATGAAAAATACAACCATGATGAAAAAAAATCAAAGCCAATTCAGCTTTGCTTTAATGATCATAAGTTCCACGGCCATGTACTCTTCTTGTATTTGGGTGATATCCTGATCTAATCCAGCGGAAAAAACTATACACTTATAGTACACCCATCCATTGGTCTATACGAAAAGATCTGAATCAATTTTCAATTCAATCTGATCTAGAAAAATGAATAATCCTTACGAAATTAAAATAGGTAAGAGTCCATTGTAAGTCTTAATTGATTTGATTGCCATCATTGCCTATTCGATCAATCAGAAAAGTTTATAGATGACAATTCAAGTGAATTGCCTCAAGAAAGGTAACCGAGTAACGGTGAACTACAGATCAAAATGAAGCTTTGATTGTCAGTAGCTCCAGTTCAAGTCTTGAGATTGATCTTCAATAATTCTTTGTGAACTGGATTGAATCGTTGTACAATTCTTCGTGATCTCGATCAAATCATTGGACAATTCTTTGTGAACTTGATTGAATCCTTCTGCACTTGATATTGCTAATCTTTAACTATATGATGATAAATTAAATACTTCTGAATTTGTTGTGACTTTTGGATTTGCTCTTGAGAATCTGATTGAATTACTTTAGCTGGTCAAGTAAACATCCTTCTTGATTGGTGAAATAGCTGAACTTCTTTAATCAAAGAATCAGCATGAAAGGAATGTCAAAAAGGGAAAACACACAATCTCGAGTAACCATCACGACCTTGACAACTATTAGATTGAGCAATAACCACAAATTGATTCAAATGTTCTTTTAAATTAGTAGAAGTGGGGAAATTGTGAACTGGCTGACCTTCTGACATACAGACTTGTCATTGTCTTGCATTACAGACTCTCCAATTCTTTGTACCCCTTTGCCCCGTTGCCCATTAGCTCTTTATCTAAGATCTTGCACATTGCGACTTGAAAGTTTAAAGATACATAAGATCTGCTGGTGTAATCTTGGGCTGTGCCAGCCTGGGAACCATGGAAGCTGACGACTTTCTTCTAACAAAATTGCACAGGGAAGGTTTTGGTCAAAAGTATTACACTACACTTTATCAAGAAGAGGTTCAAACCTACAATTCCCTGACAAAGTCTTGACCTGAGTCCGGAAGGTCAGCAGACTGATTGCTGGGCTTGAAGTTTCCATTGAGTGTTGGAAATTTTGGGGAGGTGGAGAGACAAAGTAAGACCATAGGATGTCAAGCGAGATAAGCAAAGCGAGAGAGGGGACAAAGAGTTCTGAAATAGTATAGGACATGATTGAAGTGTAGTTTGAGCTGTTCAAAATCGAAATCAAAACATCCATTTGATTCCAGAATCCAAACGGCAGTCGAACTCAAACACTGATACACTCTATCTTGGCTTTTACTGTGATGCGCTTGATAGTCCGGTCACTCCTTTGCCCTGTCCTTCAAGGAGACATGATTTCCTCAAATCAACTCATGAGAATCATATAGAGGAAACAAACACATATGACTGAAGGTTATTATATGAAGGCTCCTTATAACAACTTTACAGGCTTGTCTTGTATCAGGTGTAATGATAATAGCTTGATGTACACAAACAACGTGTTCTAAACTTGCTACACCTTGTGTGAATTGTTTTCTATATCAGTCAAGCCAAGCATTACTTTAAGATGATCTTCTTGAAGCTATTGTCAGACTGAGGATTGGATGATTTGATGAATTGCCAGGCTGAGGGTTGGATTATTTGATGGACTGTTAGAAGAAATGTTGATGACAGTGATGGCCTTGACTATTGACTCGAGAGCCGTCGTGGTTGGGAGGAAAAAATATGTGTGATCTGAGGGTAATGATGAGTAAGTAATATAGGTAGAACACGTCAGAGTGATATTAAATGGCTTGGACGCAAAAACCCTGAAATCATAGTAGGGATTGAGAGTTTAATCGAGTTTTGCCACCGAACGTGGTTTACCTATAACTTGAATGATTTGCAGTTGACATTGGCAAGATTGAAGCTCATTAGCCTGTGCAATTGCTCTTTGAACACTATTCTCAACTTGCATTCCATAATGAGCTGAGGCGGGTGTAGCCGTGTTGAGTGCAAGAGGTGCCAATGTGTGAGAGCTTGAATGAAGTGAAGATCTGGAATGGATCAAAGGTTGATAACTTGAGGTGATAGATGTCTTGGATGGTGAGATAAAGCAGTGTTGAGAACTGAGATTGTTTGGCAACATGATTGATTTAGCTGGTGATAGACAAGATGCTGGATTGAGATCTGGCCCAGAGGCTTGATTAAGAAACGCAACTGCCTCTGGATTTTTCTTGCATCAACCACACAATCAAGTGTTGAGGACCTCAAAAAGGTACCATTTTGTTGATGCCGGTTGGGTTGTGCTTATTCCATTGACATGGGTCACAAATCAGTCGAGTCGTATTTCTACCTGGGTAATCTTCACCACAACAACGACATAGAGGAGAATCAAGATCGGGATTAGGTATACTTGGAGCCATTGTTAGAAAATGAAGCAAAGATGATCAATTGAACTAAGTATTTAGAGAAAGTTGATCAGAAAACAAACTCCCAAAAAATGAAGACACATCATTAATTTCAAGCGGTACAAGGTGGTCTGTGTTGCAAACCAGACACATAGATGGATCACGCCTCAAGGCTTGTAAGAGGTGGGCAGTGATCAAGAGTATATAATCAGAAGTGCGTGTGGGAATGGATAACAATACATCATTCTCATTGCTGAACAAAATGGTGATCTGTGCACAAAATTGGTGTTGTGGTGAGGGCGTGTAACTGTGGGTAAAGGGTACATTGTGTAGTGACTAACAAGCT